CCCCGCGCCCCCCGGTCCCCCCGGTGTCGGGGTGCCAAGCTGCGCAAGGGTAGAACCCGGTGAATGGTCCGTAGAAGCTGCTCCTGCAGACGTGGTCGCGTAGGGCGGCCTGCGCGGGGTTGGGGTCTTCAGGAGAGGTTCTGCGCTGGGGGAAGGTGTGCCCGTCGCCGTGAGCTCCACGGGCTGGGGTGGTCGCGCAAGACCCCCACGACTGGATTGCACCAGCTGAGCAAAACCAGAGCTTGGGGAGTCTCTGCCATCGCGCCGCTGCCAGGAGGCACGCAGCGGAGACACGGTCACCACCGGGCACCGGCCCACTGCCCTGTCCGGGATGCTCGATCCCCTGTGCCACGGTCCCCGTCAAGCAGTTTCCCTCTGTTAATGAGCGCCGTGCAGCCCGCAAGCGGGAACAGCGTTGCATGGTCGGCGTGGCACCCGTGACACCTCAGTCGGTGTGGCACCCGTGGCACCTGGCGGCACAGCCAGGTCAGAGAGCTGCGAGGTCAGTTGTGATGTGGGGGCATCAGCTGCGAAAGCTCGGGGTAGGGGCACTGAAGTGAAAGAGGAAAAAGCCCGGGCTGGTCAGTGTTTTGCAGCTCTCTTAAACTCTGGTATTAATGAATTTAGAAGCAAAGCACGATGTCCCAAATCACAAAGCAGGAGATTTTTTTAAACAAAGGGGTCCAACCCACTGCAGTGCATGTGAGTATTGAAAGGAAAAGAAACGAGGGGAGAAGATTACATTCATATTCATACTTTAAAAAAATAGTAATTTGGAAGTCCAGCCTACGGTTATATTGTGAGATCAAAGCCATCTCTTTTTAAAAGAAATGGCAATTCTGCTGTTTTTCCGAGGCTCTTTGTAAAGCAAACTTCCCTCAGACGTGGCAGGCTGAGTTGCGTGTGTGGATGGTGCATGCTTAAGGACTTTCAGTAGGAGGGAGCGAAGGACAAGATTGCAAAAGGACTGTTAAAAGGGGAAAAAAATGAGTAGCTGTTTGAGAGCAAGGAAGCTGGGAGTCAAGTTTAAACTTAACTGAAATAATACCTTTGGTGTAGGAATAAAATTGAAGATAAACCGCGGACTGTGGGTTCATTCACCACGCTGACACTGTGTTTTCATTTTTATTTTGGTTTCTCCCCTTGCCGTTCCTGACCGTCTCGCCCCGCAGCGGGAGCGCTCAGGGTCCCGCTCGCTGGGGCCGCAGCCGCCGGGCCCGAGGGCCGCGCTTCGGGCGCTCGGGCCGTGCAAAGCCCCCAGCAGCCAGCCCAGGGGCACGGCGCGGCTCAGCCGCGGCCAGGTGGGGGGACCCGGCAGTGTGTGCTGGTGAGCGCTGAGCCCCCCCAGGACCTCGGTCCCCAGGAGCTGCGGGGAAGCGCGTTCCTCTGCCGACGGGAAAGGCCAGCCAGCCTTTTTCCTAAGAGCCGGGCCCATCACCGGCAAGGTCCATCCCTGCGCGGGGCAGGGAGGGAGACCTGCGACGTTCCTCTGAGCTTGGGCTTCATGCTTACGAGTTATGACAAAGTCGTCGCTGTTTTGGTATGGTCAGGCATTCCCTCGGCTAACGCTGTGCTTTGGCTCTCCTCCTTGGCAAGTATAAGTGTTCCAGAGAGTTGAACAGATTCCTTGACACAAGACAGCTGCTTTTGTAGGGAGGAATTAATTTAATCAAGGCTACTCCATCATTAAAATAATCTGAAGCGTCAGATGGCAAAGCACAGAAGCAAGCTAACTTGAAGATGAAAACTCAACATTTTTGCCAGCCAGAAGTGTCCCAGAAGATGGGGTAACATCATAATAAGTCACTCTGGGTCTCTATATAATGTTTTATTAATGTAAAAAAAAAAATCATCCAAAGAAAAGTTGGGAAGGAATGACCTCTTACTAAAGCCTAGCTGCCTTCATAAATTGTATTTCTTCTCTGCAGCACAGGAGACTGTGCAGAGTCAGACAACGCAGTGGTCTACAAAGGGCAAGGTCAGACACGTGGGGTTGATCCTGCTATGCAGAATACAAGGGCCCTTTTGGCTGAAAATAGCATAAAATAGTGCAAGCGGGTAGTGCAAAAAGCCATCGAGCTCTTCCTCTTGCCACAGGGCAGGATCTGCTATATCTTAATTGCTTGATTACTTAATGACTTCTCCATCATAGAGCACCATAGGCAACCGACACGGATATGGACACAGGCACGGCATTAAGCAAGTCATGTTGAAAAAGACATTTGTTTAAAGAAACCTGCTCTGTGCGTGGAAGAGGACAGCAGCAAACCAGACATATTTAAGCACGAATGCAAGCGGAAGAAGGAAAGACCTAACAATTAAGGATCTTGCTCAGAAATTGGTATACGACCTTGCCATCTCCTCCCAATATACTAAGTACGGACAACTGTAGCAAGTTTCTACTCAGATGTGTATGTGTATAAAATTTAATAGCAAAGGTGACACTAGAATAGATATATATATTTGACTTGTCGTGACCTGCCAAAAGACCGGGATGCCTTTCTTTGCTGTCATCACAGCCACACACATGGCCACATTCCGCTGGGGGAACGGCCGTACGGACTGGTTGGGTGTGACGGCTCCGTTTGGTGACCCCAGAGAGGGGACGTCCCCGTGGTGCCAGGTCTGAGAGCCGAGCCGTGGCCCTGTGGCCCGCCCGGGACGGGGGCAGCTTTCAGCAGCGTGACGCCTGCTGTCCCGACGGGCTGCGGTAGCTCGGGCTGCTCCGTCATGGAGCGCTTGAGGGCTGCCCACAGTAACCGGAGCTATTGCAAATGAAATGCATCTCAGCAGTTTAGATCTTCCTTGTAGGACTTTTCACTAACTTTAATGCTTCCCTCCTGAGCACAAAAAAGCCAAGCTTTCTGCAGCCTGGCACGATGTTCAGGCGAAATCTGGCAAATGATCCTTAATGAAAGCAAAAGATACAGACTGGGAAATCCTGATGGAAAAACAAGCGGGGAGGGGAGGAGAGACTTGCACAGAGAACATCTGCATGGGCTCTTGCCAGTCATCAGTCCAGGATGCCTCCGCGCGCTGCAGGCATCGTCGTATCGAGGTGGTTAAAATGTCGTCGGGCCCGTTGCCCTCCAGCTGGGACAGTTTGTGGCTGTGGCAGGAGTTAGGAGAGGACTTCTGCCCGCAAAACACTGGTCTCGGCTGCGACTTTCCCGACGAGGTGCTTGACTCCTCGCGGGCAGGGCTGTGCCCGGTTGGCACTGCCAGAGCTGTGGGAGCCTCTCAGCGGGTCCCCGAGACAGGCGCTGCCCGCCTGCCTCCCAGGACCCCGCGCATCTCCAGCGTCACCGCTGCCTGAGCGCCCTGGCTCTTTCCATCCAGTCCACATCATGTCTTTGTACACGTTCCCAGTTATGAAATCATGTTTTCGTTTCTGAAATACATTCGTACCTACCAAATGTTAACAAACTACTAGAATAGTGGTGGATTATTTGTGAATGATTTGTTCGTTGAGGTATTAAGTTCCATAATGCACCGCAGGTGCCAGAAACCTGAGCCTCTGCCGTTTTCCAGGGGAGCCTTGGCAAAGGCTGGCGCTGCAGCGAGGGGCAGTCGGTTACTTGTGTGCCAGCAAATGTTTGTGCTGCAGAGACAAACGGCTGCCATCCGCGGAGCCCAGAGCCTGCTCCTCAGCGCAAGCCACAGATTTCCATTAAATCACTGTCCAGATAGAGGTTGTTACTGTAATGAGGCAGTAGGTATGTGCACTACATAAACAGATGTGCCCTACAGCGTGCTGGCAAATCACAGCTAAGCCTCAAGACTTGAATTAAGACTCGGTTCTCCTGTAACTGTCAAGAGAGAGGAGTTTCACCTTCACTGTGCATTGCGTGGACAGCCCGGTCCGTAAGGTACTAACTGCAACCTCCGTGGTGGGATAACTTATTTCTCTTACTACGGAAATTCAGTCAGCAAAAAGTTAGGAAACACAGAACTTCGAGTGCCCTGGCAGCTGATCTGTACTGCTGGGGCAATCGGTGGTTTAAGTCTCCACGTGCAGCAATTATACAGTCAGACGAGAACGGAAACTTTGGCTTTGAAAGAAAAGTTTATGGTAGTGTTCCGCAGGAAAACCGCAAAGCTGTAGATGTAGAAAACTGGGAAATATCAGGCAATTGTGTGTTGGATGCTTAAAAATCTGAAGATTAAGAAACTAAAGTTTCTATTTTGAAAGGTTTCTGGATTTTTAGGCTGACCTCATTATTCTGGGGGCGGGGTGGTTTTCAGTGTACGATGGCGGCAAAGCTCTCTATTTAGATGGCTGTTTGCAGCAAGTAGGATTGAGAGCAGCTTTCCCCCAAATGGGGCTGGTTGCGTAACGAGATTAGAATAGCCATTTATGTTTATTTTTTGTTATAAATAGTGACCCAGATTCCCCGTGGCTCTGGCGAAGCACGCCGCTGTTCGGTGACACCCGCCGCCGTTACGTGCGCTGTGCCGCGGGAGGGGCGCGCGGCTGGCGGCGAGGGCGGCCGGGGCACCTGCGCGCGGGGGGGAACGTGCCGGGCAGCATGGGAATGGGAATGGAAATAGCAGCGGGGCTCGGTAATTTGCATAGAGGTCATGTTTTCCTAATATGTGTCTTGTAGAAGCAGACAGCATGTAAAAGAGGATGGTTAAAACCTGACCCAGCAATGTTTTTAAATTTCAAATTATGCATAAAGTATGCATTACATTAATTAGGGAATTCATTAAGAAGAGAAGAGTAAAGAAACTAGTTAGCAGTGTGCAACATTTAGTAATGTAAGCCATTTTCTATAATTGTTATATATAATTTGTCTCATAACATTATCCCTTGATAAATTATTGCAGCATAATATGATATATGTAGCTTATTAACAGTTTCATTAATTACTATTAGAGCAAAGACACTCTGAAATCTGGTACGCATAAGAACAAATGTTGAAGCAGATGGTTGAAATTAGTGAAACGCAATCAGTTGCTGAACCCTTTTACCTAATTACATTATTACATCAAAATAGTTAAACTAAATTTGTCAAGTTGTCGGCAAAGTGCTGGGATGTTTGGAGCCGCCGCCACGGTGCGGCGATCGCCCCCGGGCCCCACCTCCCCGTGGGGCACAGGGACCCTCCGGCCGTCCTCCACTGGCTCCAACGCCCCCGCGCCCTGCCGGGACCTGCCGGCAGCCCTCCGGCCTCGCCACCCTCGCTGCTCACCCCCCT